GCCGGACCCCAGGTCTCTTCAAGCTTGAGTTCGAGGGCAGCCGGATGATCGCGCTGTGCTCGAAGTGCTATTTCGCCGACGAAGGAGAGGGAGGCAAAAAAAGAAGTTCAGCACGAAGGGGATGTCGAAAACGTAGAACGAGCTAACATGGCAGCGTTTTAAGGAAGCGTTGGAAGGCAGCAAAGATATGGCAACCAACAGAGGTTTCAGGATGCAGGACGGACAAATGGTCACTTACAAGCAGCAGAAGCTGAGGCTGAGCGCTTATTACGACAGGCGGTGGGTGCTGCCCGATGGGATTCACACCGAACCGATCGAGTTTCAAATTTAGTTCACGTCAGCCGGAGGAGGAGTAGTGTTTGGAGGGACAACCAGCAACTCTTCACGAACAAAGCCGCCCTTGGGACCGTTGTGCAGATAGTACAGAACGGGTTCATCCGGTTTGGAAAAAGACCTTTCAATGCTGTAAACTTTCAAAGACCAGATTGGATCCGTGACCCTTTTCACGCCTCCTTCAAGCTCGCCGGACTGGTAGAGATAACGAACTTGGACAAGACGGGGGAGTATTTTTTCGCGTTTTCCGACGGGCCTCGAATAAGGTGTCGACGGCCTTGCATAAACAGATTTTTCTTTGATGGCAACGGCTGGTTTCTTGCCGATAAGGCTTGTGACCTTGTTGTTCAAAGCCGAAACAACTTCTGGGAGTCTTTTCACCCAGGCAGTGGACCGCTGGCCCTCAGGGAGTCGCATTTCCACGGCGTACTGGTGTCCGAACAAGCGCTCCGCCAGGGTGCGGTTGAAACGTTCAACAATGGCCTGGTCGCAGTGAATGTCAACGCGCCCGCACCGGATATATGTGTTGTGCTTGTCCATCTCTTGTGTGAAAGCGCCCATGAATTCGCACTCGGGGTCAACCTGCAGCATTTCAGGCCATTTGAGAGGCCCCCGCTTGTGAATCTTCTGAAAGGCCTGGGCGACCTCATCAGAACTTTTCGAAGTCAGGGGTTCGGCCTCTTTGTAGCGGCTGGCCACGTTGACAACGGTCAGCGCATATTTGAAAACTTTGCGGCCACGAGGGAGCTTGTCGTGCGGCAGAAAAAGAAGTTCCGCCTGGTGGACCTTGTTGGGTGTGGAAACGTCGAATTTCGGCCAAGGAATTCGCCTCGGCACGGGGAGAAATATCTGCCAGAGCGCTTGCCTGATCAGCCACTTTTTTGCGGTTTCT